GTGTTCAGATAACCCTTACACATCAGTAGCCTAATGCTCAATCCCACTCACTCATCCCACAGGCATTGCGTCATCTCATAGCTCCACAAGAAGAAAGATGAGCACAGAACACACAAAGCGAGGTACTCTGAGAGACCACATTGATGTAACTTTTATTACAGTATATTATTATCATTGTTTTGTTTTATTATTTGTTTTTATTAATCTCCTACCGTGCCTCCTTTATAAGTTTAGACTCTCACAGGTAAGTACTTACAGGAATAAATGTAGCCTATATAGGATTCAATATTTATAATGTCACATGTTTCCTGGGGTCCTGGAATGCACCCCCACAGATAAGGGGACTGCTGTGGACTAAGTGTAATGGACACAGGTGGTTGTGATAAGGGGGTGGAGTCCTGATTAGGTCAGCAATGTTGATGTCATAAGACCAGGGAGGCTAGGCCGCCTGTGAGCAGGGACCTGAAGGAGTGCATGATGAGCTTTAGGGGACACTTCTCGCCTAGGCCCTGAATGGAATAGAGAGGGAGGTGGGAAAAGTAGGTGTGGAATCTTGTGGGAGGACCCTCTCAGACAAGAAATTTGATTGAGAAAGGATTCATGGCAGAGGAGTGACATGCGTTTGCACTGGAACAGAGCAGGTAGGACTGCAAGGCAGAGGTCTCAGCCGTGGGGACCGTAAGATCTCGGACTCCAGGTTGAATGGAAGCACAACATGTTCTACATGGACTTGGGGGAAAGAGGGTATGGAAGAAAACCCAGGACAGTTCTGCACAGCTGTCCTAGTGGGAGTGCTGAGTGGCTAATTATAGACAGGTGCAGCTTAGGGTTGGAGATAAGAATTCTGCAGTCATCAGAGTAAATTAAATTTAAAACCATTGAATTCAGAAAAGACTCAGGATGAGTGTCGCCCAGATGATTAGAGATCAGGAAAGGAGGCTGAGGGGCGTGGCTTGGAGATACATGGCTCAGGAAAGGGTCAGACCTGCGGCCTCTGGATGAGAAGATACATGTGCGTTTTCCTGTATAGAACTCTGGAAAGCTATGCTTATCCTTAATACAAACAGGTTGTTCATTCCCTCTGAGCTGGCTTGTAAGAAAAGCAAACTCCAACTGGCTATAAGAAGCTGGTCGAATAGAGGGGGCTTTGGAAAATCCCTGGGTAGATTTCTGTGATCTGACCTTGTGTCACTCTGTGCATTTCAGAGCCCAAGTGTAGTTGGAAAAGAAGCTTCTGAGCACCTCCTGCTGTTGGTAGCTTCATTTTTCTGTACCCCTGTACTTTTAGAGAGTAGAGGCACTTGGAATCTCTCTCTGAGTTCATTTGTAGTAAGTTTTTGCGGTGCTGGCAAAATATGTTTATTAGAATGGCATCACATCAAATCAACTTGACCCGGTCATGGCCAAGCATGGGGCATGCATCTGCAGAGTTAGCTACTCCAAACACGAAGGCTGAGGTGGCGCGATCACATGAGCCTGAGATTTGGAGCCAACCTGGGCAATGTAAGGGACCCAGTCCTCTCTTGAAAAGTTCAATATAAAATCCCGAGGACAGCAGCAGATCTAGCAAGGCATTTTCTGTGGTAGCAGCTTCACGGTAAAGAGCACTGGAAGCACCCTGATGCTGGGCACATGCACCTTGCAGCTGGCTTGTGGCCTACATATGACTTTGCCTACCCTGACTTCCATTGGTGAGTTTCACCTTTATTATTACCTTGATGTAGTCAGTGATTCTGAGGATCTGGTGTTAAGAGTTGTATGACTAGCAAAACCCCTTGTTCCTTCCTATTATTGCTTATACTCTCTCTTCAACAAAATTAGAGATAAGGGCAAAAAAGTTTCTGCCAGGTATCGAGGGGGGCGGGGCGGGAAGGAGGGGGTGGAGTGGGTGGCGGGGGTGGGGGAGGGGAGAAATGACCCAAGCATTGTATGCACATATGAATAATAAAAAAATAAAAATTATAAAAAAAAAAAGTTGGATGGATATGTGGCTGATGTGGTATAGTGCTAGCTTAGCAAGTCAAGGTCCTGAGTTCAGTCCACAGTACCACGAAAAAAAAATTGCTGCATGGGAATCTGTGTCCTGGGTCAGTGTGGTCTGCTTAAAGGCTCTGGAGCTATAGATTTCACTGCTGCAGGAACGCATGTCCAAGGAGCCCCCACAGCAGTCATGGACCACACCAGCACTGGCTTCATGGCCTCAGCACAGTGTTTTAGCCCAGCACAGGCCTTGGATCCACTCACAAGGGCCTCTTGAGTACCTGCTGTATGCCAAAAGCTGCTGAGATTTTGTTTTTAAGACATGGAGGTCTTAAGGAAGTAGCTGTGCCAGCAGTCCTAGCATTGCAGAGAATTGCCACAGGGTATATGCACAGAACCTGGGCTGCGAGGCTTCACGAAAGAGAAGAGGGTGAGATAAACCTAAGAGAGGCTTCGGGGCAGACAGATGCTGAGTGCATGTGCCAATGACAGAAGCAACAATGAGGGGAGCTGTATGCTGCTTGTGTGGCAGGACCCAAAAGTCAAAGAGGCTTAAGGTACAAGGTTGGGCCAGCAGCCAGAGGATTGTCAAGAAGCCTAACTCTCAGGCTGCTCTCAGTGAAGGAGCAGATCCAACCTTCTTCCTAAAATCTTCCCATCTCTGACATTCTGCAAATCGAGAATCTAGGAGCAGCAACCCAAAAGCAGTGGGGAGAAATTTGATCTGAATCTGACTGCAGCATCAGTATGTTGGCCACCAGCAGTATCAGGATGCACAGCTCCTGCTGTCTCTCACCAGGTGGCACATCCCTCACTTCTGAGGTCCTTTTGAGACTACGGTGATGTCCAGGCACCCTTTGCAGGATGTGGTTGAAGTCTGTTTGGAAAGCATCAGAGCATGTGGGCAACACACAGAGGGGCAGAGGGCAGCTGACTGCCTCCTCGCAGGAGCTGTACTAAGGCTCCGCTCTGGCACCTTCTTAGTTCCCCCTCTTCTGTGCATAGCTCCTGGGCCTGGGTCTTGGGCTTACCATCAAGTCAGGGAACTAGGTGCCTTGGCCTTGTCCCCAGACGTGTTTTGGGTTTAGAGTTTGTCTTTTTTTTCAATAGCCTGGTGTTTGTGAGTTTTGTTTGTCTTGCATTTTTAGTGGTTTATAAAGGAGAGGTTCTAAGGTGAGTGTGCCATCTTGATAGCACTGATGAGTTTTAATGCTCCCTTATCTTGACAAGCTGGAGACTTAGCTCACACTGACTGACAGTGGGGATACTTTCAAAGGAATGATGCTCAATTTGAAAGCATTATACTCACTTCTGTTACATAAAGAATGTATTAGGTTGGAACTGCATAATAGTTGAAACTTAATTTCAGACTGTTTTGTTTTTATGACTTCAGATGTCTTTCTTGTGACTGCAATTTAAAATATGCTGTGGTTTCTTAAGCAAGAGTCTTGACTGGTCGAGGCAGGACCGGGATTTCACCCTTCCCACTGAGAAGTGAGGCATGGAACCTGCAGTTGTTGGTCAGTGGTAGAATCTCTTCCCTGGGGTACAGGGTTACCCCTCTTCAGTGGCATCTTTGCCCAGGACTAAGAAGGAAGATCCATAGCAACTTAATGTTTGGGGAAGTTGATAGGTAGTGGAATTCCATTCCTTCAAGGATGATGTCTTACAGAAGCATATGCTGGGATCCGAACACTTCATTTTGAAAGTAAAAGCCTGTATTTGAACCATCATATTAACTTTGTCTAACAAATACTTTGTGCTCAGTGCTAGGGTCATAGAGGTGACAAGGACAAGATCTCTACCCTCACAGTAGCCTGTCCCTCTGTCAGCCTCCTCCCTGCTCACAGCCATGGTTTGGTCTCATCTTGTAGTCTGCAGAGATGGTTTTGGGTGCTCCTGTGAGAAGATGAGGTTGAGAGTGCACTGAGCTACATGCCCCATTCTGAAATGTACCAGGGCCTGGTGTGTAACATGGTGACGTGACACTGGGAGTTCATGTGTGTGTGCCTTATAAAAAGTGAGATGTTAACAGCTGTGACTGCCAGCAGCACCTGGGGGTGACAGTCTTCCCAGGCTGAATCAGAAAGTCTGTCACCTGCTCCCACTGAGAATGTTAACAGACCTCTGTGGTGGTCTGCCCCAAGTGCACTGCATGTGTGGCCGGAAACTATGCTCAGTGTAAAGTTATGCCTGTTTGTTTAACATTGTTACTGTGTTCAAGTGAACCTAGTGAAAATGAAAATTCCTTCCTGGGAAAGATCTTTTTGCCATCCCCTAATGAAGAGGAAATTAAATCCCTATGTAGCCAGGATCCCTGTTCACCTTGCAATAGGGGTAAAAGTTAAAACCCTCAGTCACAGCATTGGACTTGTGTGGTTTGTGCTGGCTTTGAATGCATTCCAAAAAGAAGGTGATAACTTTGCAGACTACCAATTTTAACACAATGAGCTGCTAAGCAGTGTTTCTTTTGTGCACAAAGTATGGAGGAAGCTGTTGCTCATTGCTGCCAATAATAAAGCAGCCGTGGAGGCCACCAGACCTCTGAAATGAATTCAGTGCCTCTGTGGATGGGGTGCAGTGGGGACAGAGAGCACCAGCTTTGTGGACAGACAGTTTCTGAAGTGAACATTTAAGTGGAAAAGGGACATTCCAGAGAACGTGGAGTTGGCCTCAGAGCAGGGGATGCCAGGGAGCTCCCTCACATGCCATGTGCATGTGGGCTTCCTGGGTGGCTGGGAAAGAGAGCCTTTTCCGTGCACATATTCCACAGATAGAACACGAACTTGCCTAGGGAGAGTCCACGCTTGCTTGCTTCCTGTGTCCGCAGGCCCGCCCACCCTCCACTGTCCTGTGTGTGTCTCGGCATTGTCCAGGTCTATATTCTGTCTGGGGCATCAAAAAAATACAGAAATAGTGTGGCTGGACGTGGGCTTGAGGTGCATTTCCTAGGGGTCTAGTTCTTGCTGCTGGTGTCTGGCCAGTCACCGCCTCCCTCACTCCGATCTGCTGTCTTGCAGCGGCCGTGGCGGCCATGTACTACAGCTACTACATGCTGCCAGACGGCACCTACTGCCTGGCGCCGCCCCCTCCGGGGATTGACGTGGCTACCTACTACAGCAGCCTTCCCGCCGGGGCAACCGCAGCCAGCTCCCCTGGAGTGACAGCCACTGCCCCACCACCACCTGGGACCACACCACCGCCCCCCGCAACCACAGTCGAAACAAGCAGCGGGGTGACCGCCACCACCACAACCACAAGGTGTGTGTGCTTCCTGCTCAGCATGCCGCTGACTGCAGTACACTCGTGTTCTCAGTTTGGGGCCTTAGTAGCTTGCATACACAAGTGATCTCAAGGTTACAAAGTTGAAATCATCATAATATAAAAGCTCTTAAAAAGCTGGACATGGTGGAGCATGCCTGAAATCTCAGTACTCAGTAGGCTGAGGCAGGAGGATCATGAGTTTGAGGTCAGCCTGGCTACATAACTAGACTTTAAAAATAATAATGATGGTGATGATGCTAGCAGTGTGACTTAGTCCTTAGTAAATGTGACTGGATGTAGTGTCCCACACCTTCCTCTGACCTCTGGGGCCTGCTTTTGTACAGTGTATAAGCACTCTGGATGGACAGTAGTAGGCTGAATCCCTTTGAGGTGAGACTGCAGCTGTTGGCAAAACACTTGGGTTTCACTCAGTTGGCCAGGGTGATGCTGGCACTCCTGAGGCTCTTCCCGGCTGTGCAGATGATACCTGGCAGGAGGCCACCTAGCCAGTGACGAGATGGACTGCAGGAGTGTTTGGCACCCTCTCCAGGGCCCTTGGTGTAGATATCTCAACATCCAGCACTAGTTTTTGGGAAATTTCGACCAAATACCCAGATCTTCTACAAAAATGACCCTCTTTCTGGTCATAGGGATGTAGCTTGGTGGCAGCACATCTGCCTAGTGTGTGGGAGGCCTTGGGTTCTTCCCCAGCACTGCAGAAAACCCACAAAACATTTCTGAGGAAGTCAAACGTGAAGTGAAGGATGTTGACTCGAGCTGGCTGGCTATTTTTTAATGTGACAAAAATACTGGCTCGTGACTTCTTGATTGTGAGGATTATCTCATGGTTGGAGGGAAATGCTAATTAGGAGGAAAAGTAAAGTTCTTCAGTAGGTCCCTGTCACTGTTGACAGTGACACTTTGGGCCCTGCTTCATTAGTTTTGGGGCCACATCATCTGCAGACCAAGAGCCTCCCTCGTGTGTTGTCTGCAACTCTGTGTTTACGTGGCCTTGAGCCCAGTGTAGAGCCTGGTGCTGCACTGCGTGCAAGGCTGCTCACCAGGCTGTCCTCCACAGTGCGCTTGCTCCCGTGGCTGCCATCATCCCCCCACCCCCTGACATTCAGCCTGTGATTGACAAGCTGGCGGAATATGTCGCCAGGAATGGCCTTAAGTTTGAGACCAGCGTTCGTGCCAAGAACGATCAGAGGTGAGATGAAGAATTTTAAACATTGGGTTGAGATTGGCTCAGTGGCAGAGTGCTTGCTTTGAATGCCTGAGGCCTTGCAAAAAAAAAAAAAAAAAGTTGGGGAAGTTTTGTTCACTTTGGAATAAAAGTGCTACAGCTTCCTAAGATGCTTCTACCTGGAGATCTCTTCAGTGTTCCTCTTTAAAATCAGACCGTGTGCCTTGCCTCTGTTGATAAGCATAAAGGACAAGGCTGCACTGAAGTGTGAAGGGTGTGGCCCAAGACAGGCCACTGTGCCTCAGTCTCCGTTGTGCGTGCAGTGGGCAGGTTGTGACTGAAGCCATTTGTAGTGTTACTGGAACAACTAGTCAGTCACATCAGTGTCAGGCAGTGTGGCTCACAGGAAGTACTCACTGGAGTCACACATTGCTACTGTACCACTGTGTCTTGTGTGGAGTGACTTGGTTTTTTCTGTATTCACAGATTTGAGTTCCTACAGCCCTGGCACCAGTACAATGCCTACTACGAGTTTAAGAAGCAGTTCTTCCTTCAGAAGGAAGGGGGCGATGGTGCACAGGTACAGTCTGATGGTAGGGGGTGCAGTGTGCATGAAAGGCTTTGTCAGCCTGTGCTTGTGTGTGTCCATCATATGCTGTCTCAACTTTTCCCTCTCAGAGGTGAAACTTGCTTTACATCTGTGGAAACCATCTACTCACGCACAGTACGTTAATGCCAATTTGTCCAGCATATTCCAAACCGTAAAGCTTCTGTTTCTAATTGCATTGTATGCTTTGGCTGGTTACTGCTTTTTAAGTACTTCCAATGAGAACTGTGTAGTGTGTTTGTTGACATAGACCTGAACAGGTGAACCAGAAAGGTTTGCCTCCTGCTCTGCATGCTGGAGCTGTGTTCTGAACACTGGTGCCTTGCCCTCCTTACACAGCCTCCATTACGGTTCTCTTCACCATGGGAAGCATTTTGTCTTGTCCTTGTCCTTTTTCCTGCCTCTCCTCCATCTTGTGACATGGACACCCAACATTCATTTTTGTTTGGTTTGGTTTTTTGGTTTTTTTGTTGTTGTTTTTGGTTTTTTTTTTGAGACAGGATCTCTCACTATGTAACCCAGGCTGGCCTTGCTCTCATAATTTTCCTGCCCCCACCCCCCAAATGCTGGGTTATAGACAGGTGCCATTACATCTAGCTAAGAAGAGTGCTGCTGCCACACACACACACACTCTCTCTCTCTCTCTCTCTCTCTCTCAGGATCAAACTCGGGGGCCTTACACATGCACTCTGCCCTCTACCTCTGAGCTGTGTCCCCAACCCTGACATTCTTTTCAAGCTTATTTTGGGAGAGAAGTGATGAAGGCCCTGTTAACAGTACATTTCTTGAGACCTTTGCCTCAGATTGCTCAGACTGAAGAAAATTGACTCATCTCTAGGCAGTGGAAGTAGCTTAGTATCCTAAAAGTATTCTTAGAAATCAGGCTCCAGAAAAAAGGAAGACTAGTGCACAGGACAGAGCAACACCTTAAAAGTTCAGTGTTCGTCCAGAGTAGGGAGTCTGTTGTGTCAGAAAGCAGCAAGTTTGAGTTTGAAATGTAGAAATGCTATTGTCTGATGAAATGTGCTCTTTTGGCAAATCCTATGTAATTCTTCATGTGACAGTGCATGGTGACATCTGTCTCTCCAGGCTGGGTTGGTGCCAGAAGAGGCCCCTGCAGAATCCACTGCTGAAAAGACGAGTGACATTGGGGAGGACGGTGTGCCTGAGGATATGACTGAGGCAGGAGGAAGAAGTGGCTCAGGCGGGAAGAAGGAGGCAGCATCCAGTAAGAGCGCGGCGGACGGGAAGCTGGTGAAAGGTGCGCTGTCCAGGTGAAGCCTGGACTAGCCTAAACTAGCAAGAGAATTGTCAGTCACAGGAAGTAGGTACCTCAGCCATAGGGCAGGGAGGGGTTGGCTCCTCTCTTATGTGGCTGTACTAGAACTTGCTCATTTAAGCATACTTTTCAATTCAGCATTGGGATTCTTCAGGGTAGTTAGACCTAGAGACCCATTTGCTAAACAGCCTGTTCCTGAACCATTCAGTGAAAGTGTGTTATGAATTTTCAAATAATACTTCAGTGGTCCTCAGACTTCTGAAGCTGTGCTTCATTGTTTTCGGGGGTTTTGTGCATGTTCCTGGGGATCACACCCAGGGCTTTCACACATGCTAGGCAAGTGCTCTAGCCCTGAGCCATGCCTCTAGCCTGTGAAACTGTGTTACATGCAAACTGTTGCACAGTGGAGTTCATCTTACTTCTTTGTCAAAGTGGGTCCCTTGAACACCTCCGCAAGGCTCCCTTTTAGTCAACTTGCTCTGCTCCTGGAAAGAGGCTTGGGTTTCACAGGGCAAACATGTGCAAATGGCTAGTGTAATAAAGACAGGAGGATGACACATAGCCCAAGCTGCCAGCAGAGCCCGTGTGGCAGAGCATGTAGAAGGGCTAGTTCCTCTGCTGGGAGGGAGCGAGGCTTTGTGCAGAAAAGGATGTCAAACCACTGGGTGTTGAGAGGTGAGCAGGGTCCCCAAAGACAGAGGGACACCTCCGTGGTGTGTGCTGGCTGCATAACTCCCCTGAGATGGCAGGTGGTGTGAATGGCTCGGGTGGACAGTGGCCTGGACACAATCTGGAGAGGCACTGGCCAGCTTGTGAGGCTCTGTGGCCCTGGGGTCACTAGGGGATGCCTTTATGTAGCTGGTGGCTTTGTGAGGAGATTAAGGCAGAGGGACTATAAGGCTTTTGGTGGCATGATGGACTGGAGGGGAGCTGCAACAAAGCTTCTCTTGAGAGGAAGAAGCCACAGTAGGAAAGGGCTGGGTGGAAGCAGACAGCACTTTGCCGCAGGAGTGCCTAGCTTTTTTGGGGAAGCCTTTCTGATGGGAATGGTGGTCATTCAGAGCCAACCAGATGTTGCTAGGAAGTTGCTGTTTAAAAAATCACCTGAGCACGCACATTTCATCCCTCACGCTTCCTGGCCACCTTCAGCTCTCATTGAACTAGGCAAAGGCAAAGACGAGACAGAGGGTAGCAATGGCTACTACTCTAGAAGCCAGATTGGGGCGGGGGCTGGCCCCATGTCAGAGGGGAGGAAAGAACACCACCCGGGACTCAGGCAGTGATCCTAGGGGAGTCATAGAAGAGGAACTCCAGGCCTAGCCACTGTAGCTGCCCATGTCCCCTAAGGCTGCCCGTGACCTGCCAGATGAAGCCACACATGCAAAATTCCCTTCTGTGTCCATCTGAGCCTGACCTGAAATGTTTAAATAAAACTTATCCCAACTGCTTAGAAGAGCATGGCCTGCCCGTCTATCAGGACCAGGACAGGAAAGTAATAGCCCTAGCAAGAAGAGGCTCAAAAGGAAACACAGATAAGCTTGAGCCTATGATGTCTCTGAAGTAACAGGACAGGTCCTTTCATCTCTGATTTGTATTCCACAAAATCAAGAATATTATAAAATAAGTACAGCTGATGATCCTATATCTGCGGAAGACTTTTTATAAATGTCTGGGTTTTAAAACATAATGAAAGCACTGAAGGTCAGTTGGACGAGAAGACACCTCAAGAAGTTCTCTAAGATCTCAAAGGAAAAAGGATCAATGTTGAAGAAGATGCAACCAGGTAGGAAAATAGGCATCTGTCTCTGAGGGGGAAACAGGTCAGTGTGTCACCTTCTCTGCAATGCTGAGTGCTGTTGAGTAAGGCATAGCCGCAAGCTGCAGCAGAAAAGCTTACAGTCAGCACTCTGAAATCACGAGTCTACCAAAGTAAGGACAATGAGAATATTACTTATCAGAAGTTATTAGGGCTGGGGATGTAGTTCAGCAGAACAATGCTTGCCTAGTGTGCATGAGGCCCTGCATTCAATCCCCAGATCATCAGCACTACTGGAAAAAAAAAAAATCCAATAAAGCAGTATTCAGAGAAAAACTCATAGCATAGTCTTATATCTTTAGGATGCTAAACATAAAATAAAAACAAGGTAAGCATTGAAGTCACCCTAGAAAGTAAGCTGGGGTTACCATCCAGTGTATGCTTAGCATGCTTAAGGCCCTGAATTCAGCCCCCAGCACCAAAAAAGAAAGAAAAAGAACATAGGAAGAAAACCAAGGCATAGTGGCTATGCCTATAATCCCAGCACTCAGCAGGCTGAGTCAGGAGGATGAAGAGTTCAGTGCCAGCCTGGGCTACATGGCAAGATCCTGTCTCAGAAATCAAAGCAAAAAGAACCTAGGAGCAAACTAAACAATGCATCTGAGGATTATATAAAGTTACAGCAGAGGTTAGTGAGCATGCTGTGCAGAAAGACCAGTGAAGTACATTGTGCTTGGTCAGTACCAAAAGACTAATGCAGGTACTCGGCACGAACATGATGAAGGTGCAAGTGTGTTTAATGCACACACAAGCCGAGTCACTGAAAAATACTACTTCTGAAGAAAACATGCTGAAATTGTCTCAAGAAGAGACAGGAAACTAACAGATCTGTAGACCTGAAATAATTTTTGAAATACTGGTTGAACTTCCTTCTTCTGGGACCAGGCAGGAGGCCAAGACATAGGTCAACTCACCCTCAAGAAACAGAATGCCCCCATCAGTACCGCTGCTCCACACAGTAGGTACATTGGAGACCAATGAAGCCCACAGCTCTGCAACCCCTGAGAGGCAGGAGTGCTCAGGTAGTGATGGAGGCCAGGAGCCCCAGTGTGTCACAGCTCCCTCTCCTGTTGTATTGAATCAGCAGAGCAGAGACTTCTCATGTTTATTGCAGTGGATGCTGAGAAAGAACCAGCATTTCCTGAAATTTCTGTGATGAAGCTTCTTTAGTATTATAATTGAAGCTGGGACAAAAAGAGCTTTGAAAAAAGTAAGACTCAGCCAGGCTGCTTGGTTCACGCCTGTAATCCTAGCTACTTGGGAGGCTGAGATTGGGAGGATCATGGTTCAAGGCCAACCTGGGCAAATAGTTCCCAAGACCCCATCTTCAGAATAACCAGAGAGCAAAAATGGACTGGAGGGTGTGGCTCACACAGTAGAGTGTCTGCTTAGTGTGTGCAAAGACCTGAGCTCAAACGCCAGTCCCACCAAAAAAAAAGGAGTATTCTAAAAATAAGTTGGAGGCAGACATGGGGGATTTAAAGTATGTTGGAATGTCCATACTGAGAAGTACTTTTGCCATTTTTTTAGATGATATTTGTGCTGTGTCCACATTGTTTATGTGGAAAGATACTACTTATGAAATGAAATAGGAAGCTATAAAACTAAGGAGTGGCCTCGTGTCTGTGTGCACACGCACAGGCCTAGAAAATAACCCACTGATTATGCTCATGTCTGACTTGCAGTCGACCTTTCATTTTGCTCCTTCATGTTTTCACAATTCTCCCCAGAGATCCAGGTCTTAACTTTAGAAGTTAGAGGTGAGTGGAAGGGACCTAGTCAAGATAAAAGGGGTATTCACTTGGAGCTCACTGCTCTGGGCCAGGTCACGTGCTTGGAAATGCACGTCCCCCCGTGTCCGCTCCCTGCTTCCCTCAGCTGGTGGTGAGCAGATCATAACCACGGCCAGGGGACCATGTGAGTGGGGTGCAGCACACAGATTAAGCACAGCCTATCTTAGATGGCACTGCTCAACACATTTTTTGAAGAGTCTGGATGTGCAGGGGGAAGGAACAGGCAGTGCAGCCGGCTAGGGCTCTTCTGGCTTCAGTACAGCATGGAAGGGCAGAAGTGGCCCAAGTCATGGAGGGCCTTGACCAATTTGAAGGAATTTGGGCTTTATTCATAGTGCAGTGGGAAACTATTCGCCAAAGGATGTAAGAAGAACTTTCCAGGTGTTGTGATGTACATAAAAGATTGAGGCAGAAGCTCTGTTTATCCAGACTCCGGTTGCTCACGCCTGTAATCCTAGCTACTCAGGAGGCAGAGGTCAGGAGGATCGTGCTTCAAAGCCAGCCCCAGGCAAATAGTTCACAAGACTCTATCTTAAAAGTATCCAACACAAAAGGACTGGCGGAGTGGCTCAAGTGGTAGAGGGCCTGCCTAGCAAGCATGAGGCCCTAAGTTCAAACCCCAGCACCTCCAAAAAAATAAAAAACAAGAAGCTATGTTTATGTGTTTAAATAATCCTAGCCCCTTTGAGCTTACCTTGAGAGAGGTACTTGAGCCTTGTGCTTTTTCCTTGTATGTAGGATGGACATCCAGTGGGCTCTGTCTCATAGGCTGTCAGCCCTAGGCAAGGGGGGCAAAATGTGTAGGGCACAGGTCAGGCAGCTCTTCTTCCCTCCACTCACATTGGGTAGCCATACTTTTCAACTGTGTATTTGGCATGGGGAGGTGCTAACTGTAAACCGTCTACCACATGTTGAGTGCTGATAGGAGGTGCACCAGGGACTTTCATTGTAATGTCCTTCTGGTCAGTTGCTTCCTTTTGTTGTTTGAGGGAAATGATGTGTGTTTTAGTCTAGCCCCTTATATGATGTCATTAATGTTTTATGTGAAGTTTTCTCTGCTTTTAAAGTGCTCCTTGGTTTGTGTTTGCTAGAGGGACCGTATCGCGGCAGACAGTGCAGGGTTTCTTCTGTTAGGTTCTTTCCTGACGGCAGTCTTTAAGCATGACCATAAGCACCATGTAGCACAGCAACAGCCCGATCCCACGCTTCACACAGGTGCTGCTCCACTTGAACCACAACCCACCCTTTTTTCCCCTTTAGTTATATGCTCTCAAGTTTTTGATTGAGACTGACCTGAGACGACAGTCTTCCTACCTATGCTTTCCAGTAGCTAGGACCACAGGCATGAACCGCCACTGCCGACTTGTTGGTGGAGATGATATCTCACTGTCTTTTCACCTGACCTGGCCTCTAACCACACCCCTCCCAACCTCTGTCTCCCGAGTTGCTGGGATTGCAGGCATGGACCACTGCGAACATCATGAATATGTTTGTGCTGTTTGGTCACTCTTAGGGTATTTTGCAGTGAATTTTCATCGTGTGGCATTTCGCCCATAGACACCTTAGTATGTGCCTCTAAAAGACAAAGGCTTTTAGAGCATAGGCCCATCCTCAAGCACACATTAGCATCCTGAGAAGCACTGGGTGCAGCAGGCCAGTTCTGCCTTCCAGTGGGACTTAGGGAATTCTGCTCTTCCAGCGCTTGGAAGTGCTCTGTGGCCCAAGATGGTGAGATCTGGGAGGGCACAGGCTTCATGTCTATTTCACATCACCAGGGGTTTGAGCCATAGTAGTCTAAAGTGGGGAGAACCTGGGGGCATTGCACTGCTGAGGTCACTGTGGTAAGTCGTAGCCCTCCAGGAGTCTGCCTTTGTTGACGGTACTGCAGTTTGAACTCCAGTCCTCTCACTTACTAGGCAGACACTCTACCACTTAAGCCATTCTTCAGCCCTAAGAAAAGGCTATTTTAAGTAGTTGGGATTTGTTTTTAAGAGGCCATTTTATAGTGGAGTCATATCATATGCCTACTTACACAAATTCAGCTACATGTCAAGCTTGGAAAACTTTTTTAAAAGAAAAATGACAAGAATTGATCATTTAAAAACTATAGGTCATTTTAAACTTTAGGTTTAAAATGGCACTCAGCAAGTGTTCTGCTGTGGCAGCCGCAAGATGTCAGCACCCCTGGAAGGCCCTGGTGCCTTATCTTGCCTGCAGTTCTCACAGTGAGCTACAGTGCTGGACATGGATGAGGGGCACACCCTCAGCCTTGTGCCCTTCAGGGGGCATTTAAACAGGACCCCTCTGACCCTGTGGATGTCCCTCCCACCTGTAGAGCTAGAGATGTAGCAGGTGCTGCCTTCCCACCCACCAGTGCTCATGTGGGTGGTAGGGCCTGTGGTGGTGTCTGCTTTCTGCATCCTGTTCCCTAAAGTGTGTCGCACTTCTCACCTTTTCCTGATAGCTTCATTTGCTCCAATAAGCTTTGCAATCAAAGCCAAAGAAAATGATCTACTTCCCCTGGAAAAAAATCGAGTTAAGCTAGACGATGACAGTGAAGATGATGAAGAAAGCAAAGAGTGCCAGGAGAGCTCTAGCAGCGCAGCCAACAGCAGCCCAGCCGCAGCCCCTCCCTGTGTGGTTGTGGAGGAGAAGAAGCCCCAGCTTACACAGGAGGAGCTAGAAGCAAAGCAAGGTTTGTCGATAGCTTTTAAAGTTCTCGAAAGAAAGAAAAGACATAAATATAAGATTTATCTGCTAAGCCAGGAATTGCTAAGACTACACACTAGAATCTGGACCTTGTGGAAGACCCACAGTGTGTCTGAGCATTTGAAATGCCCTCTGCAGAGCATTGGGTGCTACTCCTTAGCTCGGATGCAGTGCTCTTGGTGACTCTTGGAGCAGCTTAATGCACCAAGCGGATAACTCTAATGGAGGCGCACTTTGCATTTTGACAACAGCCCCAGGGTGAGACTCCCAGCCTGGACTCCCACCTCTGGTTAATGCTCCAAACTGGGAGGTGCCCTTTCCTGAGGCTGCTCACAGCAGAATCCGTCCTTAGAGCTGATGCATACCGAACAGATTTCTCAGCCCTGGCTTGTGCTCATGCATGCCCTGAACATAGCCATCAGCATTTGGGGAGTATCTGCCCTGACCTCAGTAACTTACATTCTGCATGAAGGCAGCTAATTTTAATGAATGTGTTTGTGCTTTTATCTGTTCTAACTGGTTTTCTTAAATTGCTTTTTCTGTGTATACACAAGCAGATCAAGCAACACTGATAAAAGGTAACTTCCAGCTGCAGTGTACCTTCATGTCAAGAACTTTCCCTGGACTACAACTGCTCTGCCTAAGCACCCTTGTGTTCATGCACGTGTGTTCAAATCTGCACTCCCTGTGCATGAGCTCAGCAGTTTGTCAGGTCATTTGGAATAAGACAGTTTCATAGAGCGTCCATTGCCTGCGAGGAGTGTTTGGATGCGTGCATATGCGAGCCATCCTTGAGGTTCCATTATCATTAGCCCAGCTCCCAGTAGCGCTCAGTCCCATCAGCCTGACTCTGAAAGTAAAGTGCCCCTCCCCAAAAGGCATTGTAAACTAATTCTCTCAAGATTTGGTTCGTCCCATTTGTCGCCTATTCTGAAATTTGTATCATACTCATTTTTTTTTAAATGACAGCATCGTATGGGCTTTTCGGTGCTTGTGAGAATTAAGATAGCAAGATAAAATGCTGCTGCTCTAGACTCCACTTGTTCTGTTATTCCTTTAGCAAAGCAAAAGCTGGAGGACCGCCTTGCAGCTGCTGCTCGGGAGAAGCTGGCCCAGGCGTCCAAGGAATCAAAGGAGAAGCAGCTTCAGGCTGAACGTAAAAGGAAAGCAGCTTTATTTTTACAAACCTTAAAAAATCCTGTGCCAGAAGCAGAAGTTGGAAAGCTTGAGGAGAGTCCTTTCAGTGTAGAGGTATGTGGAAGAAAGTACTCATCTGTGTTGGGGAGCCTGGTAGATAAAAGCATGGGTGTGGACTCCTCAGCTGTGAAGCCTCCAGCCTGAGGGAGAGATGTCTTTGTATCAGCATGCCGACACAACTGGGTGGCAAACCCACAGTAGTGCCAGAAAGTTGTAGCTTGATGTTTCCTAAGAGCAGTTGAAACAGTCAGTTACAAGTCTTTCTCAGTCTAAATCTCTGTCTTAAAAAGTAATAGCTTCAGGAACTTCCTTTTTCGAAAAGTTTCACACCTTGAGAAAAACTGAAATAATAGCAGAGACCTGGTCACAGAGGCTCACCTGCCATGTGCATTGTAGCTCCCTTTCTCTTTTTCTCCCTGAACCATTTGAAAGTTATTTGCAGATGTGGTGGCAGCTGTCCTAAGCTCTCTAGCATGAGTCTCCCACAGCCAAGGGCCATCTCCTAGGAGTCAGGTGGGTGCCTGTCATAGAAGCTGGTCACCAACACCATATTGTTTCCAACCCGCTCACAGCCACACTTTTCCAGGTGTCCCCAACTGCCTTTTGTGCCTGGGTTTTCCCTGTAACATAGAACAGGTCCTTCATCCTTTTACTTTAATTACGGTGACATTGGCAAGACCAATATCCCAAACAAATTCTCTGCCCGTAGCCACTTGGCTGATTTATTTTTCTGTGCAAGGCAGCACTCTACATTCAGAATTAAGCATCCTGCTGAAGGCCGTGTCAGCTCTCTATCAGGAGTCAGTCTGAAGTCCTAAGAAACCAAGCTGAACCAGACTGGAAATAGCTGTGAGAGTCAGTTTGTTGAGCTCTGGGAAAGCAGTCCACAGAGACGGCCATCTGCAGGTCCCTGGTTCCAGCCGGGCTGGCAGATGCAGAAAGGCCTTTGGTCGTCCCCAGCTCTAAGAAGACCTCTTCAGCAACAGGGGACCAAGAGCACCGCAGGGGAAGGGCTTCAGCAAGGCCAGGGGAGAAGCAGAGCGTAAAATGTCTGCTTTGTGATTGCAGCTATAAAAATTATGCCTATAGCAAGGAAGGGAGAAACCTTAAGGAAGCAAGGAACTGTTACTGGGTTGGAATGCATGGTGGGGTGAGTTTAATGCCCTTTATTGTTCTGCTGTCATTTGTGCAATGAATAAAGGGGTCCATCAAGAGACATCTGCGATAAACACTTAGCCGGTTACGTTGCATGATTGCATCTGTGTGTTCTGATGCAGTTGTGTTTTAGTAGAATCTCAGTCACAGCTAGAGTCATCAGCCCACAGAATCCCCACCCTACTGGAGGCCTCATCACAGCTGCCAGATTGCTTTCCTACACGCATGCCTGGGGCTGGCTCAGTCTGTCTTTCACAGGACATCTCCTTTCCTGTGTCCAGGCTTTGTTAAATCTGTAATCCATGGTCATGAGTGTTAAAGTCCCTGGGACCATCTCCCTGCATATGTGTGTATACTTAACAGATGATAGCTGTTATGCAGTGGCAACAGAAATGTAATGGTAGTAGCAGATGGTGACAGATACTGTTAATTGCTTTAAAATTTAAAAATCTTACAAATAAATTGGCAATTGCCATAAAGGAGAGTCAAACTCAAAAATACTTTTAGTCTCAGGAAATTTCTGGGAATAGACTGCCTTTGACTTTACCAAATATCCTAATGTGCATTTTGCTCACCAATTTTGGCACATTTGAACTGGCTAGCCACATAGATACGGAGTTCTTATAGAATCCCGAAAAACTTGGGTCAGGATCAGGGGTGGCCACCTTGTGCCCCAGGAGAGGAATAGAAGACTAGGGAAGAGTCAGTACCCCATGTCCATCAGAGCTAAGACCAGGGTGGCTGGGCTCTGTGGGGTGAGTAGGTGTCCAGAGACAGCATAAAGGCACACTCAGAAGGCCTACATTGATTTGCCTTCTGGGCAGGAACCTTACTGTTTTTACTGAAGAAAGGTCTTCTTATATTCTTTTTTCTTAATACCCATGGTAAGATATTCATAGCATAGTTCACTGGTTGAACCTCTTCAAGTATAGAGTTCAGTGCGTTAAGCACATCTGTATTGCCGTGCTGTGTGACCACCACCCATCCACAGAACTGTTTCATCTCCCCAAACTGAGCTTCTGTCTCTGTTAAACAGTAACTGCTCAGCCTCCAGTCCACCATTCTGCTGTCTGTCTCTGTGGATTTGATGACTCTGGGGACCTTACACAGGTGGGATCTACAGTGTAGATCTGACTTGGATCTGACTTATTTTACCCAGCATAACGTCCTCATGTTGTAGCCTATGTCAGAATTAATTCCCTTCTTGAGGCCAAATAATATTTCATTGTGTGTCTGGGACCACATTTTGTTTCCATGTAATCTTGAGGGGGAAAATATACCTGTTTATCTATGGAGAGGACTGGAGGTGTGGCTCAAGCAATGGAAACCTGCTTAGCAAGTGCAGAGCCCCCGGTTCAAATCCCAGTACTGTCATGAAAACTGACTTGGATTTAATGTACAGATTTAAAATATTGACATCTTGCTTCTTCACATGCAGTAGAGAACTTTCCATGTCTGTGCTTAAAATGATGTGTGGCGTGTTCTAGGCACTGTGAAGATGTCTATTGACTAAAGAATTTTGTCATAGTCGCCCTGTCAGCTCTGCCCTCTGTTGGGAGTGTTGGGTTCCCAAGTTTTCATGCTGTACTTCATGAGTGTTTCCCTGACTGTAGGGTTGCTTTCTTAATTTGAGACATTGCCAGATTTGCCTCTGAAAGGATTCTGGCAATTTTGTTTGCCTTCCTGGGATGAAAACAACTACTTCCTCCTGCCCCTGTCCACACCAGTCATTGGCCATCTTGTCAGTCTGGTGGGTGGGTGGAAAGTAGCGCCTGCTCTCATTCATACGTTGTACTCAGAAGTGTTGCTAGGTAATTTGCTTCATGTTGTTTTGTCCCTTTGAGCAAAAAAACTGCCAGCTGTTTTTCCCTGCTGTGCAGCCCCCTTCAGTACCAGCAGCTGATGGGCAGAGGCCAGGCAGTGGTTTTGAACCACAGTTTGCTCTGGCATAGGACACGATGAGAGGCCCAGGGGCACAGGCCAGCCATAATTCCAAACCATTCCTTTAAAGCCACATTTATGAGTCCAACAAGAGTTTGAAGAGGAAATGGGAACAAAGATCAACCTGTTTGCTGAGCTTCTGTCTGGCCAGGTACTGAGGGAGTGTGAAGCTGGTTGTGAACCAGTGACACGATAGGATGCTGTGTTTGCAGGCAGCATCTACACAGGAGGCCAGCCCCATAGTCAGGCAATGAATAGGAGAGAGCATGTGGACTTGGACCTTGGGGGTCCTGAGCCGAGTCCTGAAGCAAAACCAGAATGGTGGTGAGAGCCAGCATGGAGCCTAGCATGCCAAATCAGCATGGCAGATAGAACAGCCTGCCCACCTGAAGGCAGGCCAGCCCAGAAAGTCAGCCTTGATCAGGAGCAGCAGAAATGGGAAGTGGTAGGAGGGCTGGGCATTGTAGGTTTACCGTGTGTGTTTGTGTTAGTTTTCCCACCGTGATGAGTAACCTGAATCAAACTGTTTAAAAGCGAGGTGATTTCAGCCACACATTCTGAGGTTTCGGTCCATCTTGGCAGGGAGGGTATGGAAGAGCAAAGCAGTCACACCCTGGATGTCAGTGAGAGAATAAATGCCTGCTTTTCCCCTTCCATCTGGCCCTCCAGCCTATGAATGGTCCTGCCCACATTCAAGGTGGATCTCCCACTTAGTCAGTCCTCTCCGGAAAACCCCTCACAATCACATCCAGAGCCGTGCTTTACAATCTCCTAGGTGGTTCTTAGTCCAGTCAAGATTAACATCACACACTTTATAGTAACGTGCTGTGGCCTCTCAGATAAAACTGCATTGTATTTTCAAGTACATGTTAATCTACTTTTGAGTGATTCATTTGGTTACAGCAGGAAACACTATTGCTAATTCATGTGCTCATTTGTTGCCAAATAGTTCCTCATGATAAAAGAACTGATCAATATTACTTGCCAAGGTTCCTGAAGTGGTAGGCAGTCAGTTTTTGTACTTCTGTAAATGACTGTTTTTCCAGGGGTTCCTGTTTTCTCCCAGATTATACTTAGCCCTACAGCCCACACCAGTCGTGGCTTGGCTTGGTCACTTTTGCTGGAATATTGAAATTCCTCCTGAAAAGGTAGCTCTGATTCAGCTGCTCACCTCTCAAACAACCCTAGGTGCAGAGCCAGATACCTAGGAACCCAACCAAGAGGTGGGAGGGCACGGTCTGAATTTATAGATGACTATCTACTTTTTCTTCAACTTACCATACAGGTGCAGTTTAAATTAGGGCAGTCAGGAACCTTTTTGGTTAAGCTAGAAGTAGTGTTTACATTTGAAGTAATTTTTTGAGATGTGCACTGTCCAGTATTTAAGCCACCTATCACTCTTGGCTATTTATGTTAAAGTTAAACTGAATTTTTTTTTCCCCCCTGCAGTACTGGGGTTTGAACTCAGGGCCTCACACATGCTAGGCAGGTGCTCTATCACTTGAGCTACTCCACTAGCCCTCTTTTGTGTTGTGCATTTTCAAGATAGGATCTTACAAACTATTTGCCCAGGTTGACCTTGAACCACGATCCTCCTAATTTCTGCCTCTGGAGTAGGTAAAATTACAGGTGTGAGCCACTGGCACCCAGCTAAAGTGAATAGAATTCTGTTCCTTCGCCATGAGCCATGTTCAGGTACCACATGTGGCTGAGCTCACTGCTCAGGACAGCCCTGGTGGAAGGTGGTGGGCCTTGCAAGAGGCCTAGAGTGAACAGCTACCTGGAGCCTGAGTCTGCTTTTCAGTTTCTCTTTAACAGCTTTGAGACTGAAGATGGTGGCATGCACCTGTGCTTCCAGCTAATAGGGAGGTTGAGGCAAGATTCCTTGAGCCTAGGAGTTCAAGGCCAGCCTAGGCAATATAGCAAGACCCTGTCTTTATAAAAATAAAATTAAATTCTGATGGTTGTGAACTCTGACTACAGTGTCAATCAGGGCTTTGGCTGTATGTTAGCACCTAACCTGCTGCTCCCTGCTGCCTAAGCAAACACAGGACATGGTAGGGTGCTTCCCACACAAGAGTGGAGGGAACTTGTCCCCACTCAGGCAAAAGGGCCCTGGTCATATCTTCTCCCTGCACACTGCACTTGTTCAGGGAGGGCAGGGCTTTCTGGCCCTCTCTCCTGCATCCAGTGATGTGAGCTTCATCTGAGGTCCATGGATGAGAGGACCTTTGCCCACACAGGCAAGACTCACATTGGAGGAGAGCAAGTGCTGCTCGGCCTCACTGACCTATGACATTTCCTGACACACTTTCATGGCCCTAGTCATTGTGAGTAACCCATAAGAATGCTGTCTTCCATGCATGTCTCGTTTTCACCACTTACCACCCTTTAGCTGTGTGGTCAGAAGCACCTGCAGTATTACTTGAAGAGGCCATGGGAGTCCAAGTGTGAACCCCACTGTTTGGTACTCTAACAGATCAGTCCCCGCTGCTGGGGCGCAAGCTTGTGGCCAGTGGAGCCCACTCACCACCTCCTCTGACCTGGCAGTGGCAATGTGGCCAGACAGCTCATCTGTCAGACGCATCTGGGCTGATGCTGGCTCACAGGGCAGGAGTCATGGGCTCCACAGCCAGGCTTATGGACTTGGCCCAGCAACCCTGTGCCCCATGGGGAACTCTGTGCCTCAGTTTCCTTCCATGCATCATTGTTGCTGACTGTTGTTGAGAGCTGATGCCCTTGGTTGTGGGACATTTTGTGATGCATCTGAAAAAGAAATTTAGCATCAGTGCTGCCTGCACAGTGGCCTTCGTGTCAGTGGTAGCAGTGAAGTGCAGGCGGGCATTGGGCTCACTCAGCATGTGCAAGACACACTGTGGACACTGTCCATAGGGGAGCCGCTCTGCTGTCAGCCCCAGACTGTGCAGGTGCAGCATGGTATTTATCCTTTTTTTTCCTGTAGAACAAGGTTTTTTGCTGTTTTGTTTTGCAGTACTGGTGTTTGATCTCAGGGCCGTCACCTTGAGCCAGTCCATTAACCCTTTTTTGTGAAGGGTTTTTTCGAGATAGGGTCTTAAGAGCTACTTGCCTGGGCTCGCTTCGAACCACAATCCTGATCCCTGCCTCCTGAGTTAGGATTACAGGCGTGAGCCACCAGCACCTAGCAGTATCTGGGTTTGAACTCGGGGTTTTGCACTTGGCAGGCAGGCACTCTACTGTTTGAGCCACACCTCCAGCCCTGCTAACCTTTATTTTTTGTTCTCAAGTCTATGTACAGGATTTTTGAGGATCCTTTTGATACTTTCAATCAAATAAAACAATGGGCTCAGTACGGTGAATCGTAGTTGAGCCTAGGAAGCACCGTAGTTGCCAGTTTTTGCCTTAGTGGTGAAGGGCAATCATTTCATCGAGTACATAGACCCCAAGACGTGGTTACTACTTATGCTTTGGAAGATGTGATCCTCATTTTCCCCCACGTCCATGGAGTACTTGACCCTCACCACTGCAGGGAGTGGAGTCTCAGTGATGGGTGTCAGGACAGAGACAGGACTCAGCTGGCAATAAAGTAAGATTTAAATTCCCCTGGGATTTGCCTTTCTGCCTTCCTGGGTCTGTGCCTGGCACCTGTTTGGACTCCATCCTCCTTCTAGGGGTGTTGGTCCAGGCAGCCACTCCCATCCCTCTTCCCTGTGACTGCCATATTAGTACACACCTAGCTTTTATGTATTAGAATTGTTAGCCATAAGGGTTTTTTTAATTAACCTGGAAAACATGATTTACTAAAGAATTTGAAGTGAGAAAGACCTTTTTGGTAAGAACGGACTCCTTGAAAAAAATCTCCCTGGAGATGACTTAGAGCCTTAAAAACTAGCCTGAGGTGCCAGGGAAGAGGAGGTCATGCTGCAGGTGAGGGATGCAAGCACATCTTCAGCCTGGCAGCTGAGTTGTTTTAACTGGGAATGACCATGGGAAGAAGCTCCAGGTTCAGGAATGGTCTCTGCCCTCATTGTGCCGGGGATGTGTTAGGGAACATCCACTGCAGGAGCTGAGGAGAAAGCCTGAGAAATAGCTCTCATGTCCTAAGCAACCTCTGAGTGGTCATCTTTCCTTAGGCCACTGCCCCCCCGCCCCCAGCAGAGCACCACTGAATCACTTTCCATGTTGTTTTTGGGAAAAAGCCACTCAGGAAGAGTCCTTTGCACAGTTGCTGACCGAGTGAGCCCAGGAGAGGAAGCAAGGATAGCCCACCCGCACCTGCAGACTTGCAAACTTGAGCACACCACCTCTGTCCCCATCCTGTCTGTCACTCCTGGGCAACTGGGCAGAATGGGATGCCAGCCCACCTATAGCACCTGCCTTGAATTTTTCCATAAATCTTACAGCTGAATCCTCCAAGCACACAGTGAAAATCTTCCCAGTGTGTGGTGTTTAATGACTTTGGTTGCAATCATCTAAGTGCATGGGGGACTGACCCCCCCGTAGAGGGCAGTGGAAAGCAGCCTGAGGCCTGAAGTGCAGCTGCTGTCTGTGAGGAAGGCGGCTACCTCTGGGCCAGATGCCCAATGCTCTTGCTGTAAAACTCAGCTGCAGTGCCGTGTGTTTGAGATTTGTACAACCTTATGTATGCATGGGACTCACTAAGAGTCTTACTAAATTCAAGGATTAGACCCCTCCAAAAGTTATTTTTAGATTCTTGAAAAAGCCTGGTGTTGGAAGTTTGTGGGAGCTCTGTTTTGATGGAAAGTTATAAAACAGCAAATGGGGAGGGTGTGCTGGCTTGTACCTGTAATCCCAGCCATGCAGAGACCAGGAGGGTGATAATTGAAGCCCAGGTAAAAAGTTAGCAAGACCCCATCTCAGCCAATAAGCTGGGTGTGGTGGTGGGCGCCTGTGGTCCCAGGCTGGCTCCCAGCAAAAACTCAAGACCCAATCTGGGGGGAAAAAAGAAAGGCTAAAAGGGGTAAGTGTGGTTCAAGTACAAGGCCCTGAGTTCAAATCCCAGTACTGCCAAAACCAAAAGTGGCAAATATGGTTTGTTTTTTTAACTAACACCGTGTCTTTAAAACTTCTCCTTCATTAATTAGTCACTTCCAGCCCAACAAGCTTGTGAATGAGTCATCATTCAGGGAGATGCTGGTTGATGAGATTTTCATCTACTCCTGAGTTCTAAGGAGTTGTTCTTTTCTCTCAGGTGTCAGGGTCTCTTTGTAGGCAGCTACAGAAGGGAGTGGTCTTTCCTCACTGGCACCCCTTAGAGCCAGTGAGTGTCTTCTCTACTGGTAAAGGAACCCAAAGTGGGGATCTAGAATCTGCACTTTTCTATCGCCCCTGTTAATACCCTCCTGCTTTTGTTCCCAGGAAACGAGTGCTATGTCCTGTCCTCTGCTAGCTGGAGGCAGACCTCTGCCCACTTTAGACGTGAAACCACCAGACAGGCCTTCAAGCAAAAGCAGAGATCCACCAAGAGAGGAAGAAAGAGAGAAGAAAAAGAAAAAGCACAAAAAGCGGTCTCGAACTAGATCACGCTCTCCCAAGTACCACTCATCATCAAAGTCCAGGTCTAGGTCACACTCAAAAGCAAAGCACTCCCTGCCCAGTGCCTACCGGACAGTGCGGCGGTCGAGGTGGGTGTGTGGGGCCCCTACGCCGTCCTGGTCCTGCGTCTGCTGTGTGCACAAGACCCCCTTCACCTGGCACCTCATGGGGTGGGGAAGAAGGCTTGAAATGAGCACAGCACTCACTAGACAGATCTGTGGGAAGAGGGGAAGCCTGCAGATTCAGATGAGACTATTCACAGCTCATCATCTACTGCCAAGTTGTAAGAAATGATTCTTTATGCCTGTGATCCCAGCTCTTGGGAGGCCAAAGCAGGAAGGGTGCAAGTTCCAGGTCAGCCTAGGCTACATAGTAAGACCCTGTCTCAAAAACAAAAGGTTGTGGTGACAGGCCATGCACGTTTGCTGAGGGTATGCACAGTTCACAGGCTGCATGCTGAGGATCTGTTGTTACTTGTTAGGATGGACTTTCCCATACTGATTTCTTTTGAGTGTTTGAATTGCAAAACAAGTCTTTACTGCTTAGTCCGTGCTTACATACCCTGCCCAGCACCCACAATGCATGTGAAGAAGGAGATAGCAGTAGGGACCCATCTTTTCTTTAATTGCCTGCCGCTGCAGGCATCCCACTGTTGAACCAAAAGCCTTCATCAGGAGCCAGTTTTTGAGAAAGCACTTTAACATTTCTGGCAGCAGAATTAATGAACATGAACTCATTCATGGGTCACAGAATTTGCTTCTTAGTGAAACAGTTACAAAGAAAACTTGGTGCTAGCCTGCAGGACTCTCAGAAGGGCCTGTTCAGTCTTTCGGGTTCTCATGCTTGACTGTGCCCCCCAAATGCCCATTGGACTCTTGTCAGCTTGCCCTGTGCACAGCACTGACATGGAGCGTCCCTGTTTCTTCTTTTACCCATACCCAACATTAAAGTTATAAGGAACCATATTTAACCCGTAGACAGTAGACAAGATCTGCCTTCCTGATAAGTCTTTGACCCCCCTGCACTTTCCCAAGAAGTTCCATCGCTTCCTACCATTACACACACTCAAAAAATCTATTTTGTAATTAAATAGCAACTTTGCTAACATATTTTTGATTTTTTTCAAAGCTCCCATGAATTTATATCATATATTAAAACCTTTTTAAAAAATTTTCTCACTGGAGCTGGGTGCAGGTGACTACACCTGTAATCTTACCTGCTTGGGAGGTTGAGATGGGGGTAGGGGGTTCATGGTTCAAGGCCAGCCCGGGCAAATAATTCAAGTAGAGCAAAATGGACTAGAAGTGTGGTTCAAACAGTAGAGCATCTGCTTTGCAAGCAAGCGTGAAACCCTGAGTTGAAACCCTCATTTCTCTCTTCAGAAAGTTTCTTAATACCATTGTATGGCTGAAAATAATACACATTTTGGGGGGAGCAGTCCTGGAGTTTGAATGCAGGACCTTGGGCTTGCTAGTATAACTGAAAATAAATAACAACATGCATAAGTCAGGCTGTCACTACACTATGCCCGGTAATTTCTTCCTAGTTTCCTTTTTCCCAGGGCTCAAATAGCAAAAATGTCATTCCCTCATAACCTCAGTGGAGGGCCAGTGGTAAGGATTCCTGTCTCCTGTTCAGTGTGAGCTCCAGACTAGTTCCAGTGTGCACCTGTGCAGGCACAGCAGATGAACACCTGCTCACACATGCTCCACCGGTCCAGCTTGGGACCTCATGGTTGGGTTGCTCAGAGCTGAAAGTATTCACCTAAGACCAGGCATGTGGTTTCTAGGCTTCACTTTAGAATGGGCTTAAATGTACATATTATTTTACACACAAGCATAGTGTTACATATTGTCTTTATATTTTCACTGCTAATAAGCCCAAGAAGCAAAAAGACGAAAATGTTCTACAGTGTCACCAGAGCTGGACATTTTTATGACTGGCAAAACTTCTGATTTCTTTCAGTGGCTGAGGTAAATAATTGACTTAAGCTTACTAAGAAGTCAGGTCTTTGGTGCTTAGTTTTGCAGGGGTTTTTGTTTTGTTTTGTTTTTGTTTTTGGCAGTACTGGGATTTGAATTCAGGACCTCACGCTTCCTAGACAGGTGCTCTACCACTTGAGCTACTCCACCAGTCCTGGTTTTGCAGTTTAGATAGAAGGTCAAGGCAAAGTACAGCTGTACCAAAAGTAAAAGTGGTCTTATGAAGCATAGCCTTCTGGCTACTTGTGTGTCCAGCGTGTTCCTCCTGAGAGTTGGCACCTTACCAAAGGGAGCGCCTGCCCTCTGTGGCCTGGTGAGGAGGGAAGGCCACGGCTAGCGCCCTGTGGTCTCTGGACCCTGAGAACACAAGTTGAACAGGTGGTGGTCTCACCTTAACCTTTTCATGTAACTTTCTGCCTCAGCCCTTCATTCTTAACGTAGCAGCCGTGCTCTGTGGAGGAAGAGTACATTTTTCTACACTGGAGGCAGATCTGCTAACTCAGTCCAAGCTCTGACAGCACTCAGCATTCCCAGGGATCCAAGTGGATTCAAAACGCTGCAGCTGTACATAAAACGGAGGGCACAGTGTTCTCCTCCAGAATGTGAGCTACTGCTGAGTCTTAACACAGCATGGAAAGCGCTAATGATACTTTTACTACTTTCTCCATTCTCTTTTCAGATAGAGTAACTCATTACAGGCATACTGTCTACATAGGACATACCAGACTTGTTTCTTGGGCCTGATGCAGCCTATTTGGTCGTTTTTAAATGACTGGCAGCTCACAGTAGAGCAACGCAGTTGTTGATGCTCTAAATGTAGCTGAAACTCGCCTTCTTTACATGCCGAGTCTCTGCACTCATAAAATGCAGGGCTGTAGGGTTGCAAAGCCTGTTTCTGCCATGATGAATTTCTGTTCACAAGTGGGCTGCTCAGACACTGGAAGTCCGACTTACTCAGTGAGTGTCTTTAGATCACCAAAGGCAAGTTAATAGTAGCAAAAATCTTCAGTTTCACAAAATCAGTATGTACTTTTCAAACAGCATCCTGGCTTTAATGAGGTAGTATTTAGTGTCTTTCAATCAGCATTGATTAAAGTGTGAGACTTTTTTCACCTGTGTTTTCCTGTGTTTTTATCACATCAGGTTCTGTCTTAATGGAATGAAGAGTACTTGCGCAGTTTAGTTGTGTGTAACATTAAAAATAAAACCTAATGACTTAAGTGTTACCAAACTAAACTCACAAGACTAAAGCTTGAAACTGCCCTCAGTATTCATCTAAGTGCCTGAATGCCTCTTCAGATAAGCCCAGGCTTTGGGAGGTTCTGGGTAGGTGGTTAAGCCCTTCCAGTGCAGATATCTTCTAGAAATTCACCCCCTAAGTACTTGGGAGTGGGATTTAATGTGACCTTTTTAAAAAAAACAGTTTTATTTAACATTCAAAACTTAGGCACACAGGCTGGTAGAGTGGCTCAAGCAGTAAGAGCAACTGCCTAGCAAGCGTGAGGCCCTAAGTTCAAACACCAGTGCCACAAAAGAAAAAGAAACTTAGGCAGGCAAGATTGGGATATTTTAATTTGAAATTTATTATTTTCTGCTGTTCATTTTCTCCATAATAAACTGCACAACAAACCAATAAAAAATCATTTAATCTCCTAATACTGTTTCTTAAAGGGAGAAATAGGGTTCGTGGACCACAGTTCTTGGGTGTTAATACTTAACATGATGTGTGGGACAGTGGTTCTGTGTAATCCATAAGCAAGCCAGGTAAAACTCCAGGACACCTGCACCTCCCGGTGTAGGAGAGAAGCGGCCACAGCACGCAGGCCATGGAGCCTAGGAGATGGCCGAGTATGCAGGTAAAAACCTGACCCAGTTTAAGCATGAGGACCCTGGAAGGTGGGGCCTGGGTTAGATCAGCCCCTGGCTCCTCAAGTCGCCTGTTGTATTTATCCGGTGACTGAGACACCTGGGAGAGGTGACGTGAACGGAGGCAGTGCGTTAGACAGACGGCTGAATGTCGGTGAGAAGAGCTGCTTAGTAGTGGTGATCACTGCCATTCCGATAAAACTTCTGGACTTATATCGTTAAGAAAAGCCTCATTGGGTGTTTAAGAGCAGACCACTGTGGCTGCACAGGAAGCACTATCTGAGTTGCACTGTACTGGAGACTTTTTAATTGGGATCATGTCATCTTTAAGAAGGCTCTGATGACATGGCACAGGTGATTTACTTTGAAATTCCTGGTCCTCACACTGTGTCGTGGCATTAGTATTAAGAACTTAGTATTATTAACAAAATAAAAAGCACTAAAGCTTCTCTCATTAAAGTGAAGCCTGAAGAATTACCTACTGTTATTTACTGCCCCGGTTCTGAAGTGGGCTTCCTTCCCAGACGACTTGAAAGCTGCTGGGAACAGCACCTTGCTCTGAATAAGTCGGGAGGTAGCAGCCACTGCACTACGGTACATGCAGCTGTGAATCTGTAGGCATTCCAACTAACTTATTTTTCCTGACTTGAGTTTATTGTAGAGTTCTATGTTAAGCATCGTAGGCGCTAAAGCTTTGATTAAGTGGAGCTTTTCTCACGGTTCTGGTAGCGCCCAGCACGGCACATTTCATTCTGAATGTGAAGTATGTGCCTCCAACCGCAGGCCCTCAGCCTCCCCAGGGACCCTGAGCACGGAGCCTTGTCCCAGCAGCTCGGCAGTGGCAGCAGCAGCACAGCAGGAGAGTTATCAGGCAGCCTCGGCCTCGAGCAGATTTGACTCCTGGAGCTCTTGTGAGGGGAAACCTGGTAAAATGTCAAGGTGTCTGACGCCCTCACCTCTCTACTCTGTGGTAGAGTCCTAGGGAAGGTCTGGGGAGGCAGCCTCGCTGGCTGATAACGTCCACGACACAAGAAGGGGGAGTATGACTACAAGTTGATCTTTGGAACAACAGTGCGTGTTGGTTTGGGGTTTTATTGTAATTAAAATGATTCAATGGAGAACTTTTTCAGATGGCAAAATCAAGCTGCTCTTTATATTGTTTTTGAGTTGAGTTGTCATGGAAACAGAATGGAGAGAAATGTGGGGCTTTTTCCAGATTTCTGCTCTTGCAGGTTTTCCCGAAACAGTAATTTCACTGAGTGAACAAAGAAGTAAAATAAAAGACCCAGAACCACTGTTGAAGGACCCTACATTAAGGATCTCGACTCCCTCAGATGGGTGGGGGTCTTCAGGGTCTTTCTTGCCATGTGTGGATTATATCCCAGCATGAAAGAATGAGTCTTTTTAGGCCCAGGCAAAGGAAGAATAAGTATTAGTGGATGGGTTTGCATCCATGAAACCTCATATAAACTTAAATTATTTAGCCCAACTGTTGTGAGAATGGCATGCTCTGAGCTGGGTGAAGGTTTTTCATGCCAGTGAGCCTGCAGCACAGTCCTGATTCTTCCTGCTATGAGACGGTGCCATTAGTGTGGACAGAAGAGGTAGCAGGTGCAGTCTGCAGTCCTCCCACTTAACGACCTTTTAGTTTCTTCCCACTGCCAGCATTCAGACACGTGGAAAGGGGCTCACTGGAGTCTTAGTCTTTCCCTTGCCTGAGATTGACAGCAACATAAGTGAGCTGCAAGTTTGAGGCAGATAAACAGGGAGAGGCAAGAGGAGGAAAGAGCAGGCACAGCCCCGGGGGCAGTGGCAGTACCCAGCATGGCCTCCCAGAGACCTGTACCCTGGTGCAACAGGGCGGGGGTGGGGAGAGGCGTCGCCTCCAAGGGAGTGCGGTGTCAGCAGAGCAGGTCCTCTGATGACATAGGACCTGCCTAAGTGCTGTACTGTCTGCACTCTGCAGACTCGGGTGGGGGGTCTGGTCTCTGCCTTGCAGCAGGGGGGTTGCACACCATGCAGATCAAACCACAGAACTGATCGCTGCCATCGTCTTCTGTCCAGGTCACGGTCCCGGTCCCCTCGGAGGAGAGCGCACTCCCCTGAGAGACGGCGGGAAGACAGAAGTGTCCCTACTGCCTACCGGATGAGCAGTAGCCCCGGAGCCAGCAGGAAAAGGACCCGCTCCAGGTAGGCCACCATGCTCTAACAGGCCTTACTATGGGGGTTCCCTGGGCCAAAAAGGTTCAGAGGAGTTGCTGTCCACTGACAGCACTGCTGAAGCAGCTGTAGATAATTTAAGTACAACAAGTCCTTGGAAGCACTCATCACTGGGAGCTCAGACTGGCTTAGCAATTTGGGGTGCTGTCTGTTGGGGCCAGGGGTTCCAATGGGGTCTGCTGGAACCCTTTGTCCCCCAGTACCAGCCATGAAGCCTCACTACCCTTCCTGGATCCGTACCCAGCTCACCTGTCCTTAGGGTGCAGGAAGGAGGACGGGGCACTTATGAAGGATAAGGCAAACTTCCCGTCTTAGTGTCCTCCCTGATCTTCAGGGAAATTGCCATTGCTTCCCTAGTGGTGTGATGATGACCAAGGCCAAGGCTGCAGCTCCTGAGAGGAGTCAGAGTCCTTTTGGCTCCCACAAAACAGGGAGGCAAAGTGGCCCATGAACTGACTCTTGACCTCTAGTGGATGCCTGTCTTGGTTTTAAGAGAGCAGGGAAATTGACTTCCATGTTTTTAGAAGCCTAGCCACTGGGCCTGGGCCAGGCCTTTGACTATCAGACCAGTCTCTCTCTCCTGGTGACAATCTCAGGGGGCCCCAAGTCCCCACCTAACTTCAGAAAGCATGTCTAGCCATCTGCCCTCTGCACTGCCTGCCTCAACCCGTGTTAGGCAGCTGTGTGCTGCAATGACCAAAGGCCTGAGAAAACCAGCTCATGAATGGAGGATGCAGCACATGACCATGCCTGCCTTTGGCCAGGAAGCAAAGAGGAAGGGGCTGGAATCCCACTGTCCCCTTCAGGGACACACCCCAGTGATCTGAAGACCTTCCACTAGGCCCCACCACCTCTCTGTAGCACCATCCTGGGAACCAAGTGTTTAGCATATGGGCTCTGGACACTTGAACAGCCTTTGACAATGGTGGGCAGCGCCTCCATTGGTGCCACCCTCCCAGCCACAGGGCACTGTCTCAAAGGAGCATCCTCAAGTTCTCAAATCTGAAGTCACGTAACAGGTTTTCATGATTCCCAAATAGACAGGAGTGATGGGAAAACAGGGAGCTATGCTGTACCTCCAAGCGATAAGTGACCAGAAAAGACCAGACCCTTCAGAGGACAGACCGTGGATCACATGGGTGGCACACACACGGGGTCCAGTCATTGCCTACACTGCCCATCCACAGGACCTCTGAGAGTTAGCTATAGAGCATCCCCTCTCCAGCAGCACCATGGCGAGAGCACTAAGAGGCACTATGCATTTGGGTATTTGGGGCAGCCACTAATTGGTGAATTGTGACCTCTTCTTACAAAGGAAAGTCAGCAAAGGACTGTAAAGCTGGTCAGTGTCAGTGAAGATCCCTGGTATAAATCCCATTGTGCACATTAGCCACCACACTAACTGTGCACAACCATTGCAGTCACAGCGTTCTTTCCTTACAAGTGACTTAGCATTTGAAATTCATCATCGCCTTAGCTGCATGTAAAGGGCACAGTCTAAAATTAATTCCTTGTGGCAAAAGATCTCTCTTAACAGAAGAGTTCTTGCTTTGCCCTCAAATTAACCTCCATGTTAAAGGGAGGAGGTGGTGGTGATGCTGGGAACTCACTGGCTGGCGCTGCCAGCCACCCGGTCAGACACAAGGACCACAAGGCCTTGTGGCGCTACCGAGGGAGTTCTGGGGCCCCAGAAAAGAAGGCGAGAGAGATTAGCTGCCCTCCCCAGCAGATGCTCAACCTCCGATCCCCTGTGCAGCGCTGAGGACTGGCTCGTTTGGTAGGGCCAGCAGCAGGGAGCATGATGTGTACAGCTGCTGAGTAGTGTTGCTCCTTGGTGGAGGCCCGAGCTGGGCTTCGAGTCAGTGTTTATTAGGGAGCCAGCTCTCTAGTCTCGAGCCAGACTGTGTCACTCCATCCTTTGGTCTCAGTGTGGGATTGGGGTCTCTGTCTTAACATCCCACAGACAGGGGAAAGTGCTGCTGCCCAGATTTGAGCTTTCTCCCACGGACAGCATTGCATCCTTCTTCTTCGGCCTTCTTATTTTGAAAATTTTTTATAGTGTACAGGAGGGTTTTGTTTTGCTTTGTTTTGTTTTGTTTTTTTCATTTTTTAGATGGGATATTGCTGTGTAGCCCAGGATGGACTCAAACTCACGATCCTCCTGCCTCAGCCTCCCAAGTGCTGGGTCTACAGGTGTGCACCACCGTGCACAGCAGGAAGGTTTTCAAATAGTTCCGTGAACACCCAAAAATAATTTGATCTACAGCTCACTAAACAGTGCTCATGTTTTGCCATATTTGCTCTCTGCTCACCCACACTCCTCTTTCCTCCCTCCTTCCTTCCTCCCTGTGTTTCATGACTGTGGCACATTTGAAGCACCCATGCCATCTGTACTTCATACTGTTCAAGTCTGACTGTCTCACTGTCTCCATGGCGACATGCATTATATTTAGGCAAGAACACTGTGTACAGTGGTTCTGTGTCACAGCAAAGACACATAAATGTCCATCTGTCCCACTGTTAGTGGTGTTGAGACTGGTCTCTGAACGAGCAGTGGTCTGCGAAGCAGCACTGTGAGACCACATCAGCTGTGTTCCCAGCAGCTCTCTGCTCATCCTGGCCGCCATCACCACATGAGTCACGGGTGTGAGACATGGCTTTCTGACCCTCCTCTTCTTTCTGTGTTCATTGGCTGGCAGTCTTCTCAAAAGAAGACCTCTTCTCTGTTTTACTCCCTGGAGACTTGGAGGCTTTGGGGGAAAAGGGGGTGTTGAACAACCCATTGTCTGTTGTTCTAGTTGACGGTGACTTATCTCATACCCGCGAGTGGGGACCCTTCCACTTCAGTCATGCTCTTTGAATACTCAGGTGCTTTTCAACACAAGGCTCACCTGGTGCGTTCCGTGCTCTAGCCCTGGGATTGGCCCTTTCTCTAAGGAGCCCCAGTTCCTTTTAGTGAGCATTTGGAAATAAAGATTTGGGCCTACAGAATATTTTTTAAGAGTAAATTTGATACAGTGTGGAAACATAAAAAAAAATCCCGTTCTCAAAAAGCACTTTGAGTCCATTATAAAAGCATTTCTCTTAAGAATGTTCTCCAAATCATATCGCCAGCACATTTCAACAGGATGCTCTCGGTATTTTATTACAGCAAATAATGAAGCTTTAGTAAGGTTTTTTTTGCCATTGAATTCCTGGTACATAACACTGCACATGGCACATGGACAAATGCTTGTGAAGTGAGTGACTGGGAGTACAGTGTTGCTGGATGGGTCTTACACAACACAAGTTGTTACTCATTCAAGGTAAATTTTGATAGTGGAAGGGTATAGGTCATAGTGTTGCGGGAGTTTGCTAGCTGAGATACGAGACTCTTGAGGCAATTAGCAGGAAGCAATGTTTTATTGTGCTGGCACAGACTCAGTGGACTCATGTCCAAAGCCTGAGCCCGAGAACAAAGGGGTCTCACCTTATATACCCTTGCAAGCAGGTTACAGAAGCAAAAAGAAAGATCTAATCCATATATGGTTATATTTAATTTTATTGGCTACTTTACCCCAGTGCTATGTGACTCTACCCTCTCTTGTGCTATGTGACCTTCCTCATGTTCAGGTTTCTTAGGTTTTATCTCTCTGCTATGCCATCCCTACTTCCCTGCTCCTTTCTCAGGACTCAGGCCTAGTCTGTTTTCTTTTGATCCTCCTCCCTGCTACAGTAGTCCCCTAAAAAAGCCAATAGAGGATATAAAACAGTTAAAAATGCTTTATTGAACTCAAAAGAAAGGGAGCAGTGAGGAAGAAAGAACAAACGGTGCAAACAAGAAAAGTACACAAGTAAAGTTGTTTGTAATACATAATGACATTAATAGGGCTGAGTATGTGCAAGTATAGAGCTCCTGCCTTGCAGGCACAAGGCCCTGGGTTCAAACCCCAGTACCACCAGAAATAATGATTATGACATAAAGCATAACCAGGCCAAAAACCAGTTGAAAGGCAGAGATTTTAGACCAGATGGTTTGTAAAGACCTATCTTCCCCGCCCCCCACCACCCCCAGTGTTGGGGATGAACCCAGGCCTCACACATGCTAAGCAAGAGCTCTACCACTGAGCACATTCCCAGCCCTGTGAGAGACACTTTAAATATGAATATACAAGTAGCTTACCATTTAAAAGGCAGAAAAAGACCCATGACCCCACACAAGTATCAAGAAATGTGACGTGGCTGCATTACTCCGAGGCTTTGTAGTCTGGAGTAAGCGTGACTAGAGGAGGACAGTGTATGGCCTCACAAGGACAAACGTTCAGAATGTGTGTAGAGTGAGAGCCACAGCAGGAGAAGGCGCCTTCTGTGGGGGCACAGACGCTGGCCCGGACAGGTGGGCTCTGCAGCCACAGGGCATTGTGTCAAAAACCTGTGACCATCTGGAAAACACTGAGCACAAGGTAAAGAACATGCCTTTCAGTTACTTGTAGTCAAAAGAAAAACTCACAAGAGTAATTCAGAAAGTGACCGATCATGAAGATGTGACCTCTTTGCAACCGCGGGCTGTTGTACTTAAAGGGAAGTTAGTAGCTTTTTATTTTTTTTTTTAATGGCAGTGCTGGAGTTTGAAATCACACTTCACACTTGCTAGGCAGGCACTCTACCACTTGAAGCCACTTCACCAGTGCTTTCCTTTGATGGGTTTTTCTGAGATAGGGTCTTGTGAACTATTTGCTGGGTTGGCTTTGAACCTCGATCCTCCTGATCTCTGCCTCCTGAGAACCTGGATTACAGGTGTGAGACACCAGTGCCCTGCACGTTGGCAGCTTTGATGCTTATGTTATATCACAAAATAATAAAAGTATCAAGATAACGCTTCAGTCTATTTTAAGAAGATGGATAAAGAACAAATTAAATTGAAAGTATAAGCAAGGAAATAACAAAAGATGGGAAACGAACAGAGCAGAAGACCAGAAAAGGAAACAAGTCCAGAAGCTGGCTCTTTGACGCAGTGATCGAGAATGAAAAGCCCACAGACGTTGAAAGGGTAACTAGATTGTAACTCCAGCTAATTCCTTGAAAAAACAAATTCCCAAACTCACACTCGAAGTAGATGATCTGACTAGCTCTCTATCTGCTAGAAATTGAATTTGCAGCTTACAACTTTTCTACCAAGCCCCTGGCCAGAGAGCTTCCCAGTGAATTTCAGCATGCTCAGGAAAGGCAGTAAGAACTTAAGAGACCTCCAAAGAAGAGAGGGTAGGGAACACAAGGCCATCATAGCTATACCTAACACCAATAAGGACTCTGTGTGTGTGCATGTGCACACACATGCATGCTTACAGACTAGTATTCAAAAACATCTTTAGATGAGGCTGGAGGTGTAGCTCAGTGGTAAAGCACTTGCCTAGTAATCCCCAGTACCACAAAAAAAGAAAAAGAAGAGCTTAGATGAAAAACTCCTTCCCGGAACACCAGCAGACCCCCACTCCAATGCTGATAAATATTCCACAGGCCGTTTGTAGAAATTGACAGACTGGCACTTGTGCAGAGATACAAAGAACCTGAAACAAAAGAGCACAGGTGGGGACTTGCACCTCAGGATTCCAAGACCTACTCAAAAGCTGCAGTAAAGACCACATGGTGCCAGGTACCAGTGGCTCACACCTATAATCCTAGCTAATCAGGAGGATCAAGGTTCGAAGCCAGCCGTGGCAGATAGTTCATGAGACCCTGTCTTGAAAAGAACCTTCACAGAAAAGGGCTGGTGGAGTGGCTCAAGGTGTAGGCTCTGAGTTCAAACCCCAGTACTGCAAAAAAAAAAAGAAACAAGCATGGTGTGTGCATGAGGCCGTGCAGATGGAGCCAGGGAGAGGGATAGAAAGTCTGAAGACACCCTGGATGTCCAAACATTTGTTGACTACAGTGCCAAAAGCAACTCAAGCTGTAGAACTTGTTTAAGCAACTGGGTATCAGAATGAAAAAGAGCAAATGGCATACCGTAACAAAAGTGGTCTCAGGTGGGTTATCGGTGTGACTGTAAAATCAGAGCCATTCAGCTTTCTGAAGAAAACTGATACGCCTAAGATTCCTTAGCATACAGGGAAACCTGCCATAAGAGGAAAAGATGTAAACTAGATGTCACCGAAGTGAAAAACTTCCTCCAGAGGCAGCTAAGACAAGCCCCCAGCAGGGAACACACTTGCAGTGCCAATTCTGCAGCACCACTTCAGGTGAACACTGGAGCAGCTTCACAAAAGAATGTGTTCAGAAAGACTCAGCATCAGTCAGGAATGCGGCAAAAGCACCATGGCACGCTGATTTGCATATACCAGCCCTGTCCCCACAACTGCGGGTGGTGCGGCCGCCTGGGAAACTGCTGGTAGTTTCTTGCAAAGGTAACCATGCAACTGCTCCACTTCCCAGACACTCCTTTCCCAGATGTGAGCTCTGTAAACATTTGGCCACAAAAACAACTCAGGTCATGATTGCCAAGACCTGGAACAGCTCAGAGTCTCTCAGCAGGAGAATGAAAGAGCAGGGAAAGGTTGCCCCACGTGGCACACTGCTGTCAGTAAACAGGCAGCTGGGACACACCCCATGGGTGACTCAGAAGTGCCTCTGAGTCAGGTGCAACTGTGCTGTGAGTATCTGTTCCTAGGGAGCTATAGTGTATGCAGGCAGAGGTCACCACTGAAGGGGGAGGAAGGACATAGGCTGATAGCCGCATGGAAAGGACATTCCATGGAAAGAACAACGGGCAGGCTCCCAATGGCAGTGGGACTGGTCCACAATGTTACTGTCAGCTCTCAGCAACAGCACAGAAAACCAGGTCACTCAGCATAGAGTGCGCTCAGTTGTTCAGACCACAGTACCCTTCCAACACTGGGAAAGCTTTGTGAGGTCCAGTTGTAGTGATTGTCAACTGAGCTCAGATGAAGGTGATAACCTACTGTTTATTTGTCATGCAGTTACACAAACTTAGATTTGGGGCTTCATGGGTCACATGCTGCCCCTTTTTTCCCTGCTCCTCTGAAATCCAGTGTATATTTCTGGACATAGAGATCCCACAGAGCCTGTGCACTTCAGCAGCTCGCCCTGGTATATACACTTTCTATAAATTGCCTCCCCTTACTACCACATCTCCTGGCCACCATCCCATGCTCCACCAGGGACACCTTCTTCCAGCAGCTGAATTGGAGTTGTAAACTGTCACCACACCAGCCATCCCAGGCCTGGCCACGCTGCAGAACTTCATTGCCTGGTTGACCCAACAGGTTTTTTACCCAGAATGGTACCAGGAATCACAGACTGAAATGCTGGTCCCTCAGCTACTTGGGTCTTTGTCTTCCAGAAGATGACATGGCTGGACTCACTTGGGGCTCTGTCCCAGGCCTGGTACCCTGCTGTCTAAGCCCTGGGACCTGCTGCTGGTTCTCCTATATCCATAAGCACCTGTAGTGCTGGGCATGGTACCTTGGTTGCCAACTCAAGCACAGCCCCATAGTTTAGCAAGAACATTTCAGATCAGGGCACTAAAGAAATGGTGGGCCGTAATAGTGGAAAGGACTGGAATTCGGTCCAGAATGGTCCTTGACCAGCCTTGGGGATCAGCGTTAGGACAGAGGACTGAGCCATGTTGGAAAGGATATGCCTGTCTTGAGCCCTTGAGGGAGCTCAGTTAAGCACATCAGAGCTGTGCCCACTGTGCCCAAGAGAGACTTGGTCAGTAGTGAGAGGCACATTGTTCCCATGAGACTGACAAACAGCAGTTGGGCACACTATACAAGTAAAGGCCTCAGGCCAGAGGGGCTGCATGGCTGGGTTCATCTGTAGCCTGGAGGCAGGGAAGGAAAAAGCCTGAGAAACTAACGACAGCCATGCAAATACTCCCCAAGAAGTACTCAGTGGGGCGGCAGCAGGGTCTCTGTGTTGGGGGTGAGATGTGAAAGAAGGCAAAGGTCAGTGGGCAAGCTAGAGGGGCTGTGGCGGAAGGCTCGGGCTGTTTGTGCAGCCCCCTTTACCAAGTTCATGTGTTCTGTTACAATGCTTATTAGGCGGAAATGAAACCAGGCAATTCCAGATCCTGGGGGCAGAGGTGGGGCTAGGAACCAGGGTTTGGGGTCCTGTCTTGTGTGGGAAGCAGAGGGAGTGGTCAGAGCTGAGTACTGAGTGTGGGCTCAGCCTATGTCCAGCTGGAGCTTTTTCTCAGGTGCAGGTTGTGCAGCCGTCACACCCCACAACTGAGCCTTTGTGTGCCAGGCTTGACTAACTATCCATATCTTTTTTGGAAACTCATTAAATCAACAAAGGAAAAAGTAGTATAACTGCCCTTGGTTGCTTATCTTAGGTGTTTTAAATGCAGATGGAATGCTAATTGTACTTTATCTCAGGCAGTCTACCCAGGACCAAGCTTCCTCCTCTAGAGGCTGGCCTCTGATCATTCTGTTACCCCCAGAGGACTGAAGGGTCACATCTTTCACAGACATGCATGTGGAGAGGTCCCTTGGAAATATACATCCAGAAGCAAGCTCAGACCCACTTCTCCTGTGCCCTATGCATCCCTCACAAGGACACTTTCCTTTCAGAAGTCCCCACGAGAAGAAGAAGAAGAGGAGGTCGAGGTCTCGGACCAAGGCCAAGGCCCGGTCTCAGTCGGCATCCCCGAGCAAGCAGACAGCACACCGTCCCTCGGCCCACTCAGCCCATTCAGCCAGCATCTCTCCTGTGGAGAGCCGGGGCTCCAGCCAGGAGCGCTCCAGGTAACCATGACCTCTGGGCAGTTCTTAGGGAAAGGGCAAGAGATGGCAGGTGGTGCCTGGGCCCTAGGGAACGCCTTGTACAGGGGACATTAAGTGGGCCAAGCCAGGGGTCCCAGCCTCACATGTGAGCATCAGGGCAGCTCCTCAGAATCCAGGGCTCATGCAGGGATTCAGAGCCCTGCTGTGGCCGAAAAACCCCTGAAGGACTTGGGGAAGCAGCATTTCAGTGGGACTAATTAGCAGACTGCGCAGGTGTTGCTCCTTAAACTGAGCCCATGCTCGGTCACCACTCCTCAAGGTGGAGGTGGGACCAAGAGCACAAAGTGCTGGGTGTCTGCAAAGCCCAGGGGACCCAGAACTGTGCCATCAAGCCACAAAGGCTGGGGTCCGGCCAACCTGCCAACCAAATGAGAGTTCAGACTGATCAAGTGTGCAGAACTTAGGCAGCATCAAGACACCAGGACTGTAAGGAATCTGCTCCTGCCCATGTTGGACTCAAATTCAGACTCCACCACCTGCCATACCCTGGCAGAGCCAAGGGGGCATTTGGGGCTGAAGTCTGCCCATTCTTGGCTGTAAGCTTTCATGGGTGTGAGAACACCCAGAGTCAGAGGCAGAGGCATGACTGTCCCCATTGACATAGCAGGAACCACAGCTCATGTGAGCCAGTCAGAAGTGTGGGAGGCCCTGACCACCAGGGATGGTGGGTAGTGTCCACATATGCAAGAGCCTTAATGTGGACCACGAGGGTCACAGAGGCATGTCCTCGTCCTGGGAGGGCTGGCCTGGTCAGTGCTTCCTTCCTTGTCTCCCTCTCCTTTTCCCTTGTGGTTTTTTTCTATTGATTGGCTGGATTTTTGTTGATATTATATTTTGGGGGTTTTTGTTTGTTTGTTTGGCAGTATTGGGGTTAAACTCGGGGCCTCAGGTTAGGGTGTGGCTCAAGTGGTAGAGCACCTGCCTAGCAAGCACAAGGCCCTGAATTTAAACTCCCAGTACCACAAAGGAAGGAAGGAAGTGGGAGAGGGAGGAGGGCATGAGGGAAGAAGGATTGAGTTAGGTTCATCTTATAAAATACTTCAAATGGGTATAATATAACATATTTATAACGCTTAGACTGTAATGCTGCTGTAAAGTTACTGGAAGCAAATATGGTATATCTGGTTGTAGGTTTGAGGTGTAGGTGTTCATTGTGTTGCTCAGCCCGGGATTTTCAAGGGTGCTTAAGCCTCTGGTCCCTTTCTTTGCATCAGGGGAGTTTCTCAGGAAAAAGATGGTCAGATCTCTTCAGCAATCGTTTCTTCTGTGCAGAGCAAAATAACTCAGGTAAAGTGGGTACAAGTCTTCCTTTCTCTTCTGCTCATTTTCATTCCTGTCCCTTGTTTGACTGATACCAGCCCAAGACTCCTGTGAGCCCCGGTGGTGTTGGCCCTGCCCCACTGCACCCCTAGGCCTTGTGAGGTCACATGGGGAAGGTTTGGAACAAGGTTGAGGGGGATGACTTTGGCCTCAGTGCAGCCTGGATCAGCTCACAACCACGCACCATCTGCCCACCACCCGCTCTGGCCTTGTCTCGCCAGTGGGATGCTCTGCCTCTGTTCCTATGCTGACCTCCTCATAAGCTTCACATGAGGCTGGGTACCAGCCTCAGCCGGAGGCTCACAGGCTCCCCACCGTGTCTCAACCTGCACAGGATCTCATGGCCAAAGTAAGAGCAATGCTCGCAGCTTCCAAAAACCTGCAGACCAGTGCGTCCTGAGCCGGCAGCCAGTGTGGAGCCAGCCCTGCTCGGAGCATCATGCCTGGCCACTGAGTGGGGTCACAGCTCCAGGCATCTGCATCACGGAAGCCAGGAGCTGAGCGGCCATCCAGGTTCTCCAGCTCGGACTCCCTGGGACAGTCGGTGACTTTTGTAAATTTTTGATGACATTTTCAGCTTAAGATTTTTGACCAGCAATCTCTTACTTGTATATTTGTAAATAATATCATGTTTCTGTGGAAATGTATTATCAAATAAAACGGGAGAAAACCCTTTTCTAGCTAGCAGCCTTGGGGTGACTTCTTCTTGGCTTGTAGCTCTTTATATCATTTGCCACCTGCCACTGGACTAACAGGTCAGGATGTGGGGACAGTGAGGCTTTCTTGTCCTCCCTCACCTCCAATAGCAACCTCTAACCTGCCATGGCAGGGGCACACCCTGACCCCACCTGTGCCTTGGGTGCGGATGGGTCCACGTCCCTCAGGACAGGGCTCTTGCCAGTGCCTTTCAAAAGGCCCTCAGTGGTGGTGACACAGAGTAGGGGCTTGCTTGGCTTCCCAGGCAGGCCAGTCTTCCTGGACATTGAGGCACTTTGGGTACACAGGACTTGGGGCCTTGATAAAGGGATTTCTGTCCCTTGGCTGGTGAGGCCTTTGATCTCACATTGCGCACACAATGGGCCCTTCAGGTGCTAGTCCTGACTCCAGAATCAGGGACCTGCTGGCCTGGCCTGCCTGGGTTGAGTTCAGAGCAGCGCTTTTGTTCCAACACTCAGGAAACAGGTCATTTAGCCCTCTGTACCAGTCAGACTTCACTTTTAGCTGAGCCAGTATGGCAGAACCCAGAGACAGTATCTGGTTTCCTCAACATAGGTTCCTTCCCGGAGCCCTGCCCTGGTCGTGGAGCTCCCACACAGGACACATGAGCCCACTGGAGGCACATGTGGCTGGGCAGATAAAGTCGGGGGCCTGGGTAAGGTAGGCCTGTAGGTCCTCAGCAGCCTAGCCAGGTTCCTTCATGCACTGCAGTACCTTGTAGAAGTGCACAGTGCCTACCTGTTCTTTCCGCAAGACTGCATCAGCCACATCAGTTCCTAGACCCCTGCTTCTTCCTTCCCAGTGCTCATGACTGCATTGTAGCTACAACCCACACTGAGTGCTGAGGAGACCTCACAGGGCTTCCTGTCTGATCTGATTGGTCAGTTCAGCAGGGACAGTTCCTTGGACAGTCTGCAAGGCATGCCCCGGGGATATCTTCATACAGATGTCGTCTTTGCTCCAAGGACCCTTAGAGGCAGCATAAGTGTGAAGAGGTGAAGTCCTGACCAAGAAGGCACAAGCTTCCATCTTGACACTGACACCTTCTGTAAGGCCTCAGAGCCCTCAAAACGAGTGCCTTTCCATGTCCTCACCCGTTACAGCAGGATTTCACACTCGGCTTTGCCTAATTGGAAAGATGAAAAGACCTTTAAACTTGAAAAATGCATTGCTTTTGCTTTTTGTGGCTGGCTATTTATGTATTCCTGTTGAGTTTCTAACCTAATTGTGACCACTCTACATACTAAGGAAGCAAGCTTTCTGTATTATTTTGTAAATGCCTTTGACTGACCCTGGCTCTTCTCTGGCTTTATCCATGGTTTTTCACATGGAAATTTTTATTGTTACCGCCCTGTGTGTTTATGATGGCTTCTAGGTGGAGTCTCACTGAGGACAGTTCTTTCAGTGCCATGGCCACTTCTGTGTTTTGCATGGAATCCCCTTGTTTTGCTGTATCGTGCCATGGAGCAGGACCAGGCTTGTGAACCAGGATTAAGAGCCCCCTGGTGGGGGCTATGATGTAGCACAGTGGTAGAGCACTTGCCTAGCATGCACAAGGCCCTGAATTCGATCCCAGCAACAAAAAAGATAAAAAACCAAAAAAAAAGAAAAAAAAAGGTCACTGGTGGAGGTGTCATTTGGCGCAGGACTGTGAGTCACTCCTATCCTTTCTAGAGATTTTCTTTGGAGCCAAGCCTCCAGGGTGACACTACACAAGCTTCCTGGTATGTTGGTTTAGAAGTGTCCTGGGACCCTAGGGTGATGCCTGTCCAGGGCAAGTTCCAGAAGACCCCAGATGAACAGCTGTATGTAGACCACTATAGCAGGGGTGGATGGAACCTGCTCTGGCAATACCCAGAGCAAAACACTGGATTGTTCAGGGTCCACATAACCAACCTTACAATGAGAGTTAGAGCAGACCCTAGGCTCCCCAGCACTCAGTGGCCTTCTGTCCTGGGCCTGCCTGAATGCTTTTCCCTTGCTTGTCCACACACTAGCCCTGAGTGGCTCTGGAGGTGGTTTGAGTTCCAGAGACAAACCTTGAGCCAGACAGAACCCTGTCCCAAGTAAAGCGGCCCCCACCTCCGTGGACTGGAGACCAAGCCTCCCGAGAGAGCTTGAGGGAAGTGGCTTGCCCTGAGGCTGGAGTGGCAGAAGCCTCGCCCCACACATACACACTTCTCCCACTGAGTCTCCTCGTCTGTAAGCAGTTGACCCAGGCTCCAGGGGGCTATAGGTGGCTTGCCTTCCTGTGTCACTCTAGTGAGTAGGGAATGCACCGGGAGGGCCCGCCAAGCTCCCACACAGCAAACGATTCCAGCCCTTCTCCATCCTCTCTCAGATCTGTAGTGGATTCAGGTTCCAGGGAACTGCTTCCTATGGGTACAGTATGGTCCCCAGGCTGGGCACACTGGCTCCCTGGTGTGTCCAACAGGGGTCAACCCCAAGAGAAATTGGGGTGCTACTACCTTGATAAAGTGCAGGGAGGCTGGCTGCAGGAGCCCATAGTTTGCTGCACTCCATAATATAAGATCCAGTGTTTCCACATGCGCTCTTCATTCTGGTCCTGGCTAAAAACATGGGAAAGCCCAGGTCCCAGGAGCCCAGTATTGGAGCCACTGTCCCATGAATCTACCAGGGTCTGGAACCTGTGCTCAGGCACGGAGTTCCCCTGAAGGCTGGCCTGCACTATCTGCATCACAAGCACTCAGGGCTCACTTGGGCAGTGTGAAAAGTTGCCTTAATTACAGGCTCATCACCGATTCATCGTGGATGGCTTGGGGAGCATGAACGGCAAGTGTTGATGTGGAGGACTGAGAAAGTAGTTCAGGGGGCTTCTTGCTTGCCAGGGCCTCACACTCTGGAAACTGAGACCTCCCAGTCATCACCGTGGACAGATCACACTGGGTTTTGAGGCCATGGCAGAAATGAGGCCTAGGTGATGCATTCACCAACTTGGGAATGACCCAGGTTCCCTTTTGGGTATAGCAGTCTTCCTAGCTCAAAACTTTGAAGTAGCCAGACTCTAATCCAAACCCCAGTCCCCCTGCCCCAGCCCTGTCAGCTTCCTTCAGACAGCTCTGCTTTGTGTGTCATATGTCCCCAGCTCCTAGGAGCGAGAACCAGGCAGCCTAGGGTTCAGCACATCAGAGAAGGCTGCTCTCTGCAATCTATGGCCTCCCACTGCAGCCACTCAGTGAACAGGCTTGTGGTGAGCGAGTCCCTTGCACAAGCATGTCTCTGGGATGGGGCGCTAGAGAGAATGGCCTTGGCAAGTCCTGGAGAGGGCAGTGGGGAGGTGACAAGTGGGCAGGTTCCAGAGAGACAGGAGAGAGGAACCGTGAGTGACACTGGAGGGGGCGAGCAAGAGGAGGGGGAAGAATGAGCCATGCTGGTGGGTAGGGGTGAGGAGGTCAGGAAGAGCTGGTGGCCAGCTGGTTGCAAAAAAAGCCATGGGGACAATGTGTACACACCTGCTTCTCGCTCACCAGAAGACCCCAGTACCAACAAGCACACCCAGGCCTATTCTTCAGGAAAAGGAATCAAAGGGGAACTGGATGGTTGGTTCCAGGGCCACGCAGGAAATCCATAAGATGAGCCTGGGCACCTCGTGGGTCCAGAAAGTAAAATGTGCCCCAGATGATAGAAGCCCACTCAGGTGGAACATATCAGAGGGACTCAAAACCAACTGAAAGAGCTTCCCACCCCACCCTAGAGCAGGAGAGTTTGTAATTAATGTAGCATTAAATTTATGCAAAATGTAAGTCAATATCCACAAGTCCATGCTGATACAGAAATGACTGCAGAAATAAATGTGGGGACAGACAGAGGGAATGCTAACACCACGACAGCACAGGCCTGGGTAGATGTCCTCACGTCCGTGCGCAGCCAGAGCACAGGTGGTCCCCAGGTACAGTGGTGCTGCTTAATGACAGGGTAAGTTCCAACAGGTGTTCCTGTGTCAATTTCATCCCGCGCAAACAGACATGATGGAACGTAAACTGTAACATCACCAGGTCGCACAGTCTCACAGGACCACTGAGCACAGTCCCTCGTTGCACAGCGCGGACATGGCTGCGATTTGTACGGCCGGCATCACCTCCTTCAGAGAGCACAGGATGGATGGAGGAAGAGCGGCCGCACAGTGGAGACTCCCACAGACACTAGCCAGGTTGTCGTGGTCAACACCAACTACGGTGAGTCACGTACCCTTGATACATGAGTGTGGCCCTGTACCTCTGGAAACAGCCCGACCCAGGCTATGAGAAAAACATCAGACAAATCCCAGTTAAGGGACATTACAAAACCTGCCAGTCCTCGAAGCTGCCGAGGTCAGACACACACGGGAAGTCTGGAAAATTTACACCTAGGAGGAGGCAGGACGCTGGACGTCGTGGAGTCCTGGGCTATTGGGGAAACAGGAGTCCTGAGCCCGTGTGGGCCTTCAGCGTGCCGTGCCAACACACAGAAGAAGGTAGGAATCAGGTCTGGGAACTTTTCTGTTGTCCACAATTTTTCTGTAAATCTAAAGCTTGTATTTAATTCTGAACTTAGAATTTTTCTTGTATTAAAAAAAGAAAGAAAGCACACACACAAACTGCCTTCTAAAAAAGCAGCTGACAAACAAGGGACACCTGTGCACTGGCTGTCCAGGTATGAGGACAGGTATGAGGACATCCACCCGACCATACCATCTCCCCTGTCGTGTTTCCCCAGGGCTCCCGTGATCAGGCTTCAAAGCTAATTTTCCAAAATGCCTTCTGAAATGTTAGTCAAGTGTTTCCTCTGCAGCAAACAGCTGAACGTGGAGGTTGACAATTTAAGAAAGCAATATTTGTTTACTTTAATAAAGTCAAGGTGGAGAGTTTTGCTTCCTTTTCTCACTACCGTTCAGAGTAAGCACTTCTGGGACAACACACGTTAAGCCGCTCTAAAAGGCATATGAATAATGACGCCTGCGGTTCTAGGTTGAGCTCTGTCGACCACTGATCCAGGGATGTGGGCAGGGAGGGAGGACCTGCAGCTGCCCGCTGAGAGTGT